GCAAAGCAAAGCAAGCAAGCTAGCAACAGCCAAAAAAAAAAAAAAGCTAGTGAGGGTTTAAGGTGGCCAGAGGTGACCAAGTCACTGTAGGCAGGCAGTGGAAACTGAGTTAAGATCCACATGGTGCTTCAGGAGCAGAAGCAGCAAGAAGATGATGCTTCCCTCAGGCTGAATGGTGAGAAAGTGTGGAGTGAGCATGTATCACTCCACCTTACAAATGACATCAATGCTCAATCCCTCAGCTTTAACCCTTACTACGGTAAAACAGCGGTGGTGGGAAATTTAAAATAGCACCCAATGGTGCAGAAGTGAGGAAGCTTCTGGTGCTTAAGCCCAACTGGCCTTACTCAGTGAGTGAGTATTCAAAAAAAGGCTCCCATGTTGTTCTAGACCCAGAAAGTGCTCCGCAGCTAACACAGTACTCTTAGGTCTCAATAGCGCCACAATGCCCAGTGACAGTGGGTCACACTCCAGGCTAACCCTGCACGTTCAGACCCGTGGGGTCTGGATGCGTCTCCAAAGCTACTGCTGAGGAGCTGTCGATCCAGATAACTGCTATATAGAGATTAGCTCAAGTAGCTGTACAGCAAGGAACCGTAGTTAAAGTCACTGAGCAAGAAAATACCAGCACTGTAACAAACAAATATTGACTGAAGACATGAAGACGAGCGGAGCTGAAGAAAAGGCATCCAACATCCTAGGGCACTACCAAAAAAACATACACAAAGCACACCAGAGTCATGTAAGAAAACACATGCCTCAATTTTTTTAGATAACATTTGCTTTTACTGGAGTACAGCTTTAAAAGGTTCTTTTTTTATTTTAAGATTTTAGAAATGCATCATGGTGAAAAACCATTCACTTAAAATTGTGTGATGAACTACCTGCTACGTTAAATGCATTAAAGGAGAATTATGGGGTTAGGGCTTTTCCCCATCTCCTTAGGGTAAAGGGAGGACACAAACTAGCGTACTCCCGTCACCCTAAGCTCAGTATACCACGAGCTACAGCTCGCGGTATACTGAGACGCCGCAGCTGAAGCGGATCCTGACAATTATGTCTGGATCCGCCCAGCTGTGTGAGTGACAGCTGGCTCTGCCTATCTAGAGGCAGAGTCAGCTGTACCCACCCCCTCCCCTGTCCATTCCGCCAGTCAGCGCTGGAGGATCTGAGCGGGGAGGGGGGAATCCAGCCCCTCACCTGTCACGGCAGAGAGCCGTGACAGCATCGAAAAGTGAGCGAACGCCGGTATGTGTTCGCTCACAGGTCGGCTAGAACTATGAGGTGAGTGAAAAGCACTCACCTCATAGTTCCCTTTTAAAGTGAAAAGCACTCACCTCATAGTTCTCCTTTAAATGAGAACTATGAGATGAGTGCTTTCCACTCACCTCATAGTTCTAGCCGACCTGTGACAATGAGACTGTCACAGGTCGGCTCAGTAGATCGGGAGGTGAGTGAACACATACCGGGTTCGCTCACCTCTTGATCCTGTCACGGCTCTCTGCCGTGACAGGGAGAGGGGCTGGATTCCCCTCTCTGATCTGCCAGCGCTGACTGGCGGAACGGACGGGGGAGGGGCGGGTCACTCACGCACCTGGGCGGATCTGGACGTCCATGTCGGGATCCGCTCCGGCGTCTCAGTATACCGCGAGCTGTAGCTCGCGGTATACTGAGCTTAGGGTAACGGGAGGACGCTAGTTTGTGTCCTCCCGTTACACTAAGGAGAACTATGGGGAAAAACACTGACCCCATAGTTCTCCTTTAATATGTACAAGATACATACACAGTCTTAAAAATAAAAAAAAGAACAACTCTTTATCAACTTCAACAATCCACAACATTGTCATTGTTATCTTTTGTTTCTTTATCAAACTTACCACCTGGATTATATTTGATACACTTAGCCAGTTTGCTGGTTTGATACAATCGCCTCCTTCAACCAATCCTTCATAACCCTTCAGAAAAAAAAAAAAAGAAAATGTTACCTTTTCCAATAAATGTAAAGATTGCTACATTTTTTGAAGCAGCATAGTACACGGGCACTTGGTCCCATTCACACCATGCACTGCATGCATTTACACAAGCTAATGAAGCATGTTTATTTTTATCTATCCATTATGGAAAGGGAGAGGGGAACATTCAGAACAGAGATTTTCCATGGCAAGATTCATGCATTTTATGCTTTTACCATTCTTTTTTTTTGCAAAACTTGCCAGGCTGCAGAGCTGAACTAGCCATATAGGGATACATCAGTGGTTCTCAACCTTTCTAGGGCCGGGACCCCTTTGATAACATTTGCCAAGTTGTGGTGACCCCCCAACGGTAAAATTTAGGGATGACGCTGCTGCTGCAGCGACATCTGGCGGCATGGCAGGAGATCTGCTGCGCTAGGAGAGGGCTGAGGAGGACTCTCACAGCGACCCACAGGTTGAGAACCACTGGCGTACACCAGTTTGCTATTGCAAAGTGAAATAGCCAATAGGAATCTAGCTATGCATTCCTATGGTGTTTTTTTTTTCTTCACTTAAGGTGGCCGGAGGCCCCCGATGTCAGAAAAAAAAACGATTGCAGGGAAAGGTTCTAGGAGAAAGTGTTTCTCTCCCGGGCGGCCGGGAGCTGCTATCCAATAGAGGGAGACTCCCGGGGAACCCCTGGCAAATTGTCGTTCGACCCCAGACGGGGTCGCGACCCACAGGTTGAGAACCGCTGGAATAAATGGTGTTTCTGCAGTATGTTAAATAGCTTTTCATGCAGTAAAGTGGATACATGTGAGCTGGCCCTACATATAGTATGCATTATCATCTGAAAATACAAATTCTCAACTTCGCCTCTAACAGGTTGATCTGAACACTTCTAAATTGGACAGCCTTTTACTCAATCCTGGCCACCTAAAACTGATCTAGGCTATGTTAACACCATGTCCGGACCAGATCTGGAGCAGATCTGCAAACACAGTGCAGTGCGTTTTTGCTGTGTTCCGGTGCTTTTTTTTTGTTGCTTAAAATGGGCTTTTCAGGTGCAGTCCAGTGTGTTCCAGTACGTTTGCATGCAATTTTGATGAGTTTACATGCGTTCCACTCTAGAGAAAATGAGACAAGCAATATTTTTTTTGTCTAGACCGTAACTGACTGCGCTACTGTGAACAGAGCCCAGAAATAACATAGGGATACTTTTTTGGTCCAAGAACAAACTGTTCTGGTCTGGACAAGCATTTAGGGTTAGTTCACACCATAAGCAGTGCGTTCCGGTCCGATTCTGGCCGGAACCCACTGCCTCTCATTGCGGCCCGCTCACTTTTTTGCCGGGCTGGAGGGGGCGTGGCGGGCCATTGAAGTGAATGGCACCATAGCCACACCTTCCAGCCGCAATGCGATCGCCCCCACGGGATCGCAAGGCACATTGTGCCTGCAGTGCGGTCCAGTGCGGTGCGATCAAAATGCTGCAAGCACTATTTAGATCGGACCGCACTGCAGGCACAATGAGTCTTGCAATTCAGTGCAGGCCATCGCATTGCGGCCGGAGGGCGTGGATACGGTGCCATTCACTTCAATGGCCCGACACTCCCCCTCCAGCCCGGCAAAAAAGTGAACCCAGTGCGTTCCGGCCAGAATCGAACTGGAACGCACTGCTTATGGTGTGAACTAACCCTTAAACCTACTATTCTGTCTGATTACAAGCCAGGATCAACAGACTTACTCTAACTAAAAACAAATGGCAGGAGGATTCTCCCTCTCACTAAAGCTGGTATACACGCATATATTCTCATCATTAAACCTGCTGGCCGAACGAAAAAAATATAACAGATTCCTTCATCAACGATTATGAGCGTAGATTGAGGAATCCCCAGCTGTTTCTATTGCAGTCTGCCGACTACTGGTCACCGTGAGAAAACCAGAACAGAGCTTGCAGCAGACTGGCTGCTAGCTCAGTTCAGCCAACAATTTTGCAACCAGCTCCTTCGATCAGCTGATAAAAGGGATGCCGGTTGGAAGTCTGCAAAGACCAGCATCCACTGTGTGAATTACAGTCGGTTCAACAGGAACCATCCGAAATTCAATATAGGTATACCCGACCTAAATGAGTCACCTTAAATACTTCCATTGATTAAATTACACACGCCATAAGTTAGTCTGAATGGACTAATTGGATACTCTTACTTAATTTCAATGCCATATGCACCTAGGTATATTCCTTCATGTAACCTACTGCCCCAAGGCAAGACCCTATTGATTTGAAATGGTGAATTTTATTGCTGACCTCCTTGCCAAATATTGGTAACCCAGTTAGGGGTTTATTGGGAAGACTTTGAAATGCACAATCATGATCAATCACTCCTTTGTCTCCTTTTCTTCTATGCATAAAGTCATATTCCTACGAAGAATTCTGAGACCCTAGCACTAAGTGTCTGGAAAAGAATTATCAACCTAGTGCTTCCTTTTTAAAAAATTACTTATACAACTCGAGGATGCCAACAACGACAACGTGAAATACTTTGCTAGATCATTCTCTTATCTTTTTATTTTAGACATTGCCAATATAAATAACAAAAGCCAACTGTGTGCTTGGTGGCACATCCAAGAATTTGCAATATACCTGTATGCTGATTTCTTTTTCAATACTGTTATACTCAGGGTGTACTATGTAATGATTGGACATTTGTTGTCTCTTATTTTATATCAAAACCAATTTTTTTATTGGTTTTGATATAAAAACACCTAAAAAAAATACAAATTCTCTAACACCATAGCAGCAAACCATACAAGAAGCTACATATAAGCAGATGTAAATTATGTTTTAAATAATTACATGCACAGTGGTTTGTCTTCACTGTTTTTTTGGGGTTTTTTTTCATTGCATCAATAACTAACGTAATTTCAATGAGAGATTCAGCTAGGTTTCCCAACACAAAAGAATGACCTTTGCCTGATTAGGTGGCACTTAATAGGATAGCCTGCGCTATACTTTAACTTCCCTATCAAGATGCCCTTTACTCTAAAATGCGTTTCTTCAGTTTTGTGGAAAGACGGAGTGTGTTTAAAAAAAAAAAATGATATCTTAATTAATACACAATGCTCAAATTGCTCTGATGTTGCCAGTTCACAAAAAGGATGTTGGGGGACTGGAGAAAGTGCAGCGAAGGGCAACTAAACTCATAAGAGGAATGGGGGAGCTCAGCTATGAGGAAAGATTAACGGACCTGAATTTGTTCTCTTTGGAGAAGAGGCGATTAAGGGGGGACATGATCACCATGTATAAATACATAAATGGTCCATATAGTGAGCTTGGTGACAAATTATTCACTTTAAGTTCACTGCAAAAAGGGGACAAGGGGGCACTCTTTGCATCTGGAGGAAAAGAGGTTTAACCTTTGCATACAGAAAGGATTCTTCACAGTTAGAGCTGTGAAAATGTGGAAAAGACTCCTCCAGGAGCTAGTTCTAGCTAGGTCAGCTAATTGTTTTTAAAAACATCTGGATGTATTCATAAATGCACAGAATATTACTGGATATTGAGTTCTTATAGATATATTAAAAGGAGAACTATGGGGTCAGGGCTTTTCCCCATACTTCTCCTAAGGGTCACAGGAGAACACAAACTAGCGTTCTCTGTGACCCAAAGCTCAGTATACCGCGAGCTACAGCTCTGGCTGCAGCTCGCGGTATACTGAAACGCCGCAGCCGGGGCGGATCCCGACAATACTGTGTGGATCCACCCAGCTGTGGGATTGACAGCTGTTTATGGCCTGGCCAGGAAGGGGGTCTAAACACCTGGTCTTGAAGTGGTTAAGAATCAGAGATTGTTGATCCAGGGAATATCCGATTGCCTTATGGGATCAGGAAGGAATTTTTTCCCCTGTTGGAGCAAATTGAACCATGCTTTATAGGGGTTTTTTTGCCTTCCTCTGGATCAACAGAGGGTAATTGTGGGCATAGCGTTCTGTTTAGGCCTTTTTTTTTCATAACTGTATAGATTGAACTCGATGGACATGTGTCTTTTTTTTAACCTGACTAACTAACAATATACTTGCTCAAAACTCAAAAGCAGCCACCGCTCATAGTCCTTGTCTTGCAATCACACAGCCCCATCCCTCTTGTCGGTGCAGGCAAAAAAAAGGGCACGATGCAGCTTGATACTGGTTCTCAGAGAAACAATTGCCGCACAAACGACTGGTATCACAGACTGGATAGTGTTTATTCCCAAAGTCAAAACATGAAGTAAACAAACACAGGCAGCAGTCTGTGTTTGTTTACAGCATGTAACATGTTTCACCAAACGGCTTATTCATAGAGATCACCATCATTTCTATGAATAATCCGTTTGGTGAAACATGTTAGAGTTGGAGGAGCCCGTGTTTGTTTATAACATGTTTTGACTTCGGGAATAAACAGTATCTAGCTTGCGATACCAGTCGTTTGTGCGGTAATGGTTTCTGTGAGAACCTGTATATACTTGCTGTTCAAAAGTTATCTTGAAAGACAACCTCACTGAAATAAAGTCTTGTTTGTTTAAGAAAATATTAGGTATATCTCCTTCAAGGTATCCTAAGTAATAAAGTAACTGCTGATATAGTAGGACTGTTGTCAAAAGGTAACGTATAGCTCTGAAGCACAACTGGTTAAAAACAAAAGCTTTAAAAAAGGAAAACTATGGGGTTAAGGCTTTTCCCCATAGTTCTCCTTAAGGTAACGGGAGGATACAAACTAGTGCCCTCCCGTCACCCTAGGCTCAGTATACCGCGAGCTGTAGCTCGCGGTATACTGAGACGCCGCAGTATACTGCGAGCTGCTGCTCACGGTATACTGAGACGCCGCAGTATACTGCGAGCTGCTGCTCACGGTATACTGAGATGCCGCAGCTGAAGCGGATCCCGACAATTATGCCGGGATCCGCCCAGCTGCTTGACTGACAGCTGGCTCTGCCTATCTAGAGGCAGAGCCAGCTGTACTCGCCCCCTCCCCCGTCCGTTCCGCCAGTCAGCGCTGGCGGATCGGAGCGGGAGGGGGGAATCCAGCCCCTCCCCTGTCACGGCAGAGAGCCGTGACAGGATCGAGAGGTGAGCGAACGCCGGTATGTGTTCGCTCACTTCCCGATCTACTGAGCCGACCTGTGACAGTCTCATTGTCACAGGTCGGCTAGAACTATGAGGTGAATGAAAAGTACTCACCTCATAGTTCTCCTTTAAGGTTAATGGCATGTGGCCAGAAATAACACATTCCAATGTATTGCCTGTTCTAGCTGTGGTAGTTATTTAGTCAGAAAAGATAAGCTATGCCTAATATCAGTATCAATAGTAGGCCCATTGCAGAAATGTAACGTATAGCACTGGAGCTTAACTGGTTGGACACAAATGCTTTAAGGTTAATAGACTGTGACAGAAGTAAAACATTCCACTTCATTGCCTTTTCTAGCAGTGGTAGTTATTTATTTACAAGTAAATTAGGGAAAAAAATGTTCTGGACAAAACAGCACATACCAGCATACATTATTTGTACATCAGGCTCAGGATTCTTTTCCATAAACGCTAAGGTGACAAATTTGACTGCAGTTTTATTATCTATGCTGGCTCCCAAAGTGATTTGTGATTGTTTTAGTTTTGTTCTATAGAAAATAATAGAATATCCCATGTGTACACAAATGTTTATACCCTTTTCTAACATTTGCATGGACCTTTATTACTTTTACCAATTAAATAAAAAAAAATAGATGAAAATAATATTTGCAGAGTCAATATTTCCAACACTTTGGGTTATAGTGAATCCCCAGCGAAACATTACTCTGATTAGGAGATAGCGGAGAAGGTTTAGTGCCTCTGTCAGTTTTTTTTTCTTGCTATCCCAAGTCTGCACTGAGAATTTTCCCTACTTCCAGTGACAGGCATGTCAAGGAATAATAATAATAATAATAATAATAAATATAATGTATTA